ATTACATATGCACATTGCATTAAGGCAGGTCGCTGATGCACGTCAAGGAAGCACTTTCGCGCAAGAATCAACTCTTTGCCGATTTCGCTGCTTCCACGCTGCTCGACGAAAGTGAAAATCCTTTTTCTCTCTCGAATTGTCCGATTCTCGCATGAAACGACCATGAGTCATTATTAATATGATTGCTTTCCGACGTTGCTTTCTAGATTCGACTGTACGTAATTGTCTAAGCAAGAAATATCGGTTTAATAACGCACTTTCACCCCGCGATAGAAATCTCCAGTGTGCGATTTAATTTGCGAATATCTGCTACGTCCATCGTTCGCAATTCTCAGATAGATGGCTGTGATAGATGTACGAGATAATTGTTGAAGTATAAAAGGAAGAAATTCAGGACGAAAAGAAGTAAAAAGAAAAGGTGGAACTAGGAATGTGTGTCAGTGAAATTATTTAAATTTTTTGATGTATATTTCTCATGATTTATAACAGTATTTAAAGAGCTATACAAGAGAATAGCTAATGCAGAAACTAGGATAGCTTGCAATTAAAATTTCTATTTTCCTTGAATTTTTATGTGCTGACACTGTTTATTGTTATTAATGATAGGAATGGGTTTCGTAAATAATAAAAATATCGAAAATTTTCGAAAGTCAAGCAAAATTATTACACCTCTTTTTTAATATGAAATTTTCGAAATTTTTCTCAAAATTTTGCGAAACTTCGATTTTTAAAATAAATTATTCTTCTTACAAAGTAAAATTACCACTTTGAGTTACAAATTTGACTGTTAAGAATTCAGAAATTGAAAACTACCCCTAATTAGGGATATCAATTGATAGTACTTGTAACTTCTTCGTTAACAGTAATATAGGACTTTTGTGATTAAATTTGATGTTGAAAGGTAGTAAATAATTTATTTCCCAGTCAAAAAAATCTATTTTAAGTTCAAAGGACTGCCTGGTAAAGGAACTGTCGATCGTAAGAAGGGAAATAAATGGACAAACAAGAAAAAAACAATGCAACTTTGCTGTAGACACCAGTTTTATGTAAAAATGGTGGCAGCACGTGCGATCCATCGTCCTTCGAAAAAAGGTCTTACCACGTGACTCACTGGAGTCATGAACAAAAAGAACGATCGATCACGGCGCTATTTACGTCGGGTAACTCGATCGTTAAAATTGCTAGCCAACCCTCCGTTTTCTTTTTTATTGTCGATCATTTAAATAATTCATACGCAAAATTATTCGCCGTTCAGTGAATACAAATCACCGCATAATTCCCTCCTTTTCGAGGACAGCTTTGTACCATTTCGATTTCGTTCCAGTTATTCTACAAGTTTCACTCCTCGAGCTGCCAATAAGAGTTACATTGAAAAATTGTCGTTTAATGCTTGTCGCAGAAATCGTGGAAATTTACATTTAACAGCGAAGGTAAAACCCGAGTAACGATTTTATAAAAATCTGAAGGGAACTCGTGAAAAAAAATTTTTTTAAAATAGAATATTTTTTATAACTGTAGTATTTTATTATTTACAAATTTTATCGAAACCTTTCTTTCATCGTTTGTTATTTATTATATTTATTACGAAAATCGTCGAAATTTATATGTAATAACGGAGGTACAGATCGCGTAATGATTTTTAAAAAATTTTATGCTTCTGTGGAAAAATAATAATAATAAAAAAAAATTTGATATTTTATATTTATAAGTTCCATCGTAATTGCCGTTTAATGGTTGTCACGAAAACCGTCAAAATTTGGGTTCGATAGCGAAGTTACGGGCTGAATAATAATTTCCATAAATTTTGATACATCTATGTGAAAGAAAAAATAGAAATTCAATGTTTTTTATAATTCTTATATATTAATATATTGTATTATAAATTTAATTGAATTTCTTCTTTACATTTTAATATATAGCTACAAATATCAACGAAATAATCTAAAATTCATATATATATATATATAATTATTTGATGAATAGTTTGACATTTTTATCAATTTATCAATTACCCAATGACATTTATCAATGATGCTTCTACATATTATACATCCAAAAAATTCAATATTCTAAAATTTCTACATTTCAATGTTAAAATATTTAATTCACATGAATAAAGTTGGTAAGATACACAAAATTCATAAAATTTGCAACGTTCTCCGCGAAAGGCCGAATAAAAATTTTAGTTTCTCTTTGGACTTCACTCCGGTTCATCGCGATTCGTGTCATGTCATTGCTCTCTCGCTTAGATGGCAATCGTCGATGCGCTTTTTGCCATATATCCACGCAACACCGTGGTAACTTTTGAAGACTGAAACGAGTTAATCGTCACCGTTGCACCGTGTAATTTTGCATCTAGCACTGACTGCACCAGCTTTTTGCGCTCGTTGCCTCTGTATCATGCCGCGTTATTACCAACGATTACCCAACAAATTCAAGTTGGTAACGAGTTTCAATACGAGCGAATATGATACGTGGATATTAATATTTATAGATCTGTTCGTACTTGCCTTTCTTTAATCGATATTTTTCTTTCGCTACCTGAGTGCAGAGATAGACATTTATATCCATATTAGTATCTAAGATATCGTATTAACACCGCAATTTCATTTTATTACCATATTTCGTAATAGCTCTTGATTGCACCTTGAAAAAATTTATAATTAATAATCGAATTAAATTTTGAAGTTTCGAGAATATTTTGATTCAATTGATGACGAATAGAAATTTATATAAATTTATTTTATTATTTAATTACAATAATTATTTACTTAGTTTTTTAATTTTAATTGAATTTATTTCATTAACAATTTTAATAAATTTAATTATTATAAACAATAATGGATGAATTTTTTTAATATACTTAATTTATTTAGTTGGAGAACCAATTTTAGGATTACCTTTAATGATTATAATAAATTATTTATATGGTCATCAAAATATTTATTTTATAGTTTGATTAATTAAATGTTAAGAGAATTAATAATTTTATTTATTATGATTATTATATTAAATTTTAATTTTTACAGTGGGAAGTTTTCTGAAACCAAAAATGTTTCAGACAGAAAAAAATTATAAATATTCGTGAATTTATTTGTATTGAAATTTTACTTAATTTTTCATTTTTAATTGTGACAACAAAATCTAGTGACAGTGACAATAATATCAATGCCTTAACGATGACACTATATACAATACAAAGTGTTCAAGTAACAGATAAGTTATTATAAAAATTGCTATACTATATTGTTAATACACAATCTATTTGAAAATAATTTTTCAAGGAAAGATGTCTAGTAGACACATACAGCTAACAAAATGTCACTGTGTGAATTTTTGTTTCCAAAAGCATCAATTCTGAAAGCACACGAGGTAACTTCATTTTCATTAAATTTTAATTAAGTTGACTTCAGCATACAACACTGTACGTGATACACTTGTGCAATTAAAATGGACGTCATACGTTTTTTCCTCAGTTTGCATAGTTACTTTATGCTCAACTTTTATTATACGCAAATTGTATAAAAATATTCTACAACTATTAATGTTTCTTTCATTTAAGAAAGGAAGGTGAACCTATTTTCGAATTTTTAAGAGCCATTGTAATTATATTTCGAGGTATAATACGTGAAAGTACGTATTGTATTTCACTCTTTTCAGCTGTACAGCTTTCACAAATGTTACATTATGGGAGACGAACGTTTACGCGTGTAATAGAATAATACTGCAGATATTGAAGAAAACAGAAGCAATGTAACAAGGTGCAAAGTCGGTCAGTGAATCACTCTACTTGTACCTTTTTTCATCGAGCGATTGCAGGAAAACGTTCATCGATCAAGAGGCAATGAATCATAAATTACGAAATATTATTCGTATACAATGAAAATACATAACTGTAACATTTCGAACATTGATACTATTGCGTTAATTATTTCGCGAAATTTTATTACGAATTTTAATTTGCGTAATATTGAAAATAATTTGTTAATTCGAACATTGCGTATTTCCCAATATCAAGTGGATATTAAAACGATGGAAAAATGGCAGATGGATTGAATTTTTCGTCCATTAATGTTTATTAAATTTCCTTCTTTTATTAGTCAATTTGCTCTTATACAGTTCATTCAGTGGACATTCGGCAAATTGCTTCATTTCGTGTCTTTAATTGCTACACAGTTGCATGCAATTTCATTTTATTCAAATGGTCGAATACGATTCTAATATTAATATTACTAGAAAATTATGATTATAAACACCTATTATTCTAATAATGAAAATTCCAAGTTCGTCATAACTTTCAAAACAAATAAATTAAAAGGATGGACTTTCACCTCCCTTATATAGCCACGATATATTTTCCTTAGATTTTAAAAGAGAGACGAGCATAGATTGCTCGAATCGTTTATCATTTCAGAATACATTCGCGCGACGCTTAAATAAATAAAGTTATCTACGAAATAACAGGAACACGACAAACCCGATTTTTCTCCACACCCCGTATAATTCAACGATAGGATTACGCTACAGTTACAACGCGTTAATCAAAATTCTCATTAATCTTATACACTTTCATACGGTGGACGGTGAAACACATTAACCTGCGCGGCAAATAAATGAAACCCGACCGATCATTCCTGTCGCTGCGGTGAAAATCTAATCCGCGGTAGGAACAGGTAAAAGCGTGCGTTAATCGGTGTTTTTGTTGTTTCCGTACACTTTCACGGGGCCAATCGCGTTGGAAGCGAAATTTTTTCGCGCCATTTCGGGCAACGCATTTCCAATCGCCCGGTGGACAATGAAAATCCAACTATTACCACGGTCACGGTTCTGTACAGGCGAAAACAAACGGTCGAGAACGACCGGTGGAATCGAAAATCCGTAAAACCGACTGCGAGCACGGCGGTGTATTAAGAGTGGGGTGGGGGTACCAGCTGACTGGCCTCTCGGTGAAACTGTCTCGTTTGCCGCACGCCGTTGCTTTGACAGTGTTATATCAACCTCCGACAGAGCGAAGTCGTGTTCCTTCCTTAGTAAGTCTCGCTCTCGAAGGCATAAGAAAAAGCTTTCCTCGAGTTTCGCTTGCTTTTACACCAACTGTATACTCGTACATCAAGACGATCCGCGAGACATTCTTGACGACAGTTTCCGAAGAGTTTTGCAAGGATAAAGAGGTGGGGGGACCGCGCGGGTGGGAAGGAGTGGGGAGAAGAAGGGAAAAGGACAGTCGCTCGCGACTCGTATTTTGGATAGAGATTCCCAGGGGCAAACGAGATAAAGCAGGCGAGCCTACGACCACGACGGCCACAAGGGAATCTTTATTGAGACATTCTACGAATTTGTGCTGCGTGTTGTGTGATAAAAGCTTATCGTCGCGGGCAACTGGAGACCTTTCGTGTCAGCGGGGAGACGGATCGTTTTCCTTTTCCAAAAGGCCCCTCGCGACCGGCAGAAGGGTTGCTTCTTCCTGGATAACCGGAAGTGGCTATTAACCGGCGAAGGTAGAACAATGTGGACACTCGAGAACAGCTTCCCTTGAAGCTCTCTCTCACGTTCTTCAAGATAATAATTCGGCCCGTTGAGTCATGCTCTGTCTTCTTGCGCTCCGTCGAAAGGTAAATAAACTTTTCTTTTGCTTCGTTACGCGTCTGGTTAGAGCCGTGCAGCTTTCGCGAGGGATCTTACTTGCGAAACGTGCACCTCGGAGACAGTTGTTACGCGCGGATTAAAGGAATTGCCGCAAATTGCGATAATAGCCGCGGATAATGCTAGGGATCCGCGAAAAATCCCGTTTTCACCACGTCGCCATTATTTTCTTCTCTCTGCTTTCGAGCTTCGATGAAGCAGAGATGCGATGTATCGGTTTGCAGGAAAATATTTCTCTTTTCGCGATCAGGTGCTGTTAGGTGGTATCTAATTATAGAGGAAAATGACACAAGATGAGTAGGTTGCAGATATTGTATTATATAGTGGCTTTAGAAATTGTTTCGAAATGTATTAGAGACACATTATATCGTTAATAGAAGGTAATTGCGATGGTAGTTACCTCTTTCGACGAAATCTATTAGCTTTGAAAATTGCAATAATGATTTGATATAACGGAGAACTTTTGCGTCCACGTATTTTTTTTTTTTTTTTATTTATTTAAATAATGATGGATTTTATCGATTAGGAGAATGTTTTATAAATATCGAAGCTACTACGTGTGATAAACTGCACGGGATAAGCGAAGAGAAAGTAAGACAGATACGATGTTTTGACATTTTGGAGTAAGATAAGATTAAGCAAGTTAACAATTTTTTAAAATATTGTACGAAGACGAATAACAATTATATACAATTGTATACAGAACCAGCACGTAATAATACGTTGAATAAAATAACAACGATATTGAATTTCTTGATAAAAGTCACTCTGATTTTCTTAAATATAGGTCACCTTCATCAGGGGTATTTTATCTAACCTATACTTGTATCGAATAATTTCTAGTTAAATTAATTTTCTTCTTTTTCTACAATACATGATATGATTTTTGAAATTATCTAAAAAAAAAAGAAAAGATAAAAATAAAGAAGTATTCATTGGTGTATGATTATAAAATATAATCTGAAATTTCACTTATGCTCTGACTTTGACTAATATTGGACATAAATTATCATTTATCGATAAGTTAGAATAACATTTATTTGTTTAAGCGAGAAATAATTAAAATTTAATTAAAATCCTAGTTACGAGCAATTAAGTTCTTACGAGCTGACTTTAAATTTATTACATATTTTTCCGAGGCTAATAAAAGTGGAAAATATAATACAATAGATAATAAAACAAAATACAATAAGAAGATATATGATAAACATAATTTACTCGACGAGTTTGCACCGATATTTTTTATTCGCTTAATTGTCCTCACTTTTTAATAAATAATATTTAAAATCATATAATTTGTATGCTAATAAAGTCATATATTTCTCCATTTTTCGTTTCATACCTCAATGCGGATCAACAAAACACGGATCGATAATTTTATTTTTGCTATTGTATCATATCCAAGAGAAATTATCAACAATTGTCCACAGTAACGGTCTACGGTTTATAGGCAGATTATCATATATTATGTCTAATGCACTATAACAGTAAAAGATGAACGCAATACGATTGAACGTAACAACCAATCAACAAAATATAACGCTTTATTAAATTATAAAGTTGATCCAAACTATATTAAGCTAATAGTCAAATAGGAACGATATAATTCTTATAAGTCATTTAACCCTTTCCACTCGACGATTTTTTCGTTACAGAAAAATAGTAATTGCAAGACTTTCTGCCATAAGGTCGACGATATTTTTAAAACGGTAAACAAGAAATCGTATGCAATTTAAGACGTAGAATTATTTGTTTTGACATTCCAAGCATCGTTGGATAATTTCGAAGAATTAATTTATCAATCGAATTTCTCGAATTATTTCCATTAATTAGGAAAACTGAGAATGAGGGAAGAAAATACTTTAAACGTCCAACATCTACCTAATATTAAATTTTCGATCTTTAATAGACATATTTAATCTTTTGCACTCGGCAATTTTTTTGTTACAGAAAAATACTAATTGCAAGACTTTCTGCCATAAGGTCGACGATATTTTTAAAACGGTAAAGAAATCGTATGCAATTTAAGACGTAGAATTATTTTACTTCGACATTCCAAGCATCGTTGGATAATTTCGAAGAATTAATTTATCAATCGAATTTCTCGAATTATTTCCATTAATTAGGAAAACTGAGAATGAGGGAAGAAAATACTTTAAACGTCCAACATCTACCTAATATTAAATTTTCGACCTTTAATACACATATTTAATCTTTTGCACTCGGCGATTTTTTCGTTACAGAAAAATACTAATTGCAAGACTTTCTGCCATAAGGTCGACGATATTTTTAAAACGGTAAAGAAATCGTATGCAATTTAAGACGTAGAATTATTTTACTTCGACATTCCAAGCATCGTTGGATAATTTCGAAGAATTAATTTATCAATCGAATTTCTCGAATTATTTCCATTAATTAGGAAAACTGAGAATGAGGGAAGAAAATACTTTAAACGTCCAACATCTACCTAATATTAAATTTTCGACCTTTAATACACATATTTAATCTTTTGCACTCGGCGATTTTTTCGTTACAGAAAAATAGTAATTGCAAGACTTTCTGCCATAAGGTCGACGATATTTTTAAAACGGTAAAGAAATCGTATGCAATTTAAGACGTAGAATTATTTTATTTCGATATTCCATGCATCGTTGGGTAATTGTAAATTTGATATATTAATCAACATCCATCTTTCGAATCTGATTAAATGGCGACTGAGAGGCGTCTCTCGAGTGCAAAGGGTTAACACACCAAAAAAAGAAATTACGACGAACCAGGTTATACCATACAAACACAGAATTTCCCTGTTTGGTCAAACAGTACCCGGCAGCGTAACCAAAACTATCCCTGGGGATCAGCGATTAAAATCGAATTTCCCGCAGAACGAAGAATCAATTCACCCCGCAATAATTCCTTGCATTTCACGAACGCTGGTCGATCACGCGATTCAGGCCACGAAAGAGGCGCGAAACGTACATAGATTTACGAAAGCATCAACGATCGATTTTCCAGCACGAGACTCGTTGAATACCTGGCGCGGGACGGATTGCTTGTTTTCGCTAAATTATGTATGTATGAATTATTCTGTCGTTGGGAGTGCTCTTGTATCACGTGTACGATTCATTTCCGCGTGGAAGTCGAGTGCGTATCAGACTCTCGAAGAGACGAGGACGGGCCATTATGCCAGCCGAGTACCCGGCGAGAGGGACGGAGACAGACAGACGCGCGAGGAGCGCGTGCGAGAGAGACGGACAGAGAGAAATCTCTACGCCAGATGCACACACGGCGCTGTTTTCACGTTGAAAAACTTTTTATCGGCCGGACAAAGGAAACCGCGAAACTCGAGGAGAGCGTAATAAATTCGCGCGAGGCTGCGTGACGGCTCAATTTCATACTAACGTCCTCCACGATGTCGATTTGCCAGACGATTTTCCTCTTACGTTGCCGCCCGGAACTCTTCTCCGAGATAAAGCCCCGAGAAGATTCTGGCGCGCATGCGCGTGCAACATCGAGGTGCCCAGTGCGTTCCTTCCTTTCTCCTGAACGGATTATCGCTAATTACTCTTAATTACGGGCAGACTCGCTTAATTTCTGCTTTTCCGTATCATTTAAAACGTTCAACGCGTTTATTTTACCCCCACCCGACCCCTCTTTCTTCGCTCGCGCGCACTCTCTTGAAATTCTGTTTTTGTTCGTCCGCCGGAAGACGGAAGCGTGCATGGTAGATCGTAGTTCTATGCGCTATTATCCCGAGTCTTCTGGAGAATTTTTATTTTCTTCCACGAACTCGTTATCGTTAATTGCATTTCATTGAAAATTCGTTCACGCCTTGTCATCTCTTGCTCGATGCCCTTGCTTGCTTTCCACCGTTCTTCTTCCTTTATCTGCGTTTAGATTTAGTCCGTTTTCGTTTGTTTCTGCCTTTCAGTACCGTATCTTCGAAAATAAATATTTTCTTAACAGCATAATTTGTGCTGACTAATTGATGCTCGTGAATATTATTTTTCGAGTATTATAGTATAATAAATATTAATTTACGTGTATATTTAAATCGTAAATTTTGGACCTTTCACTATGCAAAAGTTAATTTTGTCGGAAATTATTTTTCTGCTGAAATTTCGCTAATTTTCATGCACGAATACAGGAAAATTGTCTTGCACAGTTCGAAATGATATGAAAGCTAAGTTTAATTAAACGAGAAATGGCTAACAAATATGGTTTCTATCACGTTAACTTCGAATTTGTCTGATAAACGATAACATTGTTGTCTGCACCGGTGTTCATTGTTTATTTCTATATATACCGGAGATAAATCGCGAGATACGTGTACACGTTATTTACGCTATCTGCTGACTAAGTGCGATTGTACGTGCCGCGAACAAAAATAAAGGAAGCGTTCGTAAAGTTAGTCGAATCAAGTTCATTGTAACATAATATTCCACTCGGGTAATTCAAACGTTCCATAATAACGTTAACATAACGATATACATTACGAGGGGAAGAGGGAAAAAAAAAGAATGAACACAGTTTGACCATTTGACCAACATCTGGACCGAAAATAGTCGTAATTAAAGCTCTTTATGCAAAGAGCATTTAAATCGGAAGATCGTTTTATATGGCCATAATTACGGTATTCGACACGTAGTAAAAACACGATACGAGAGAAAGGAGCAAAAGCAAAAACGTGGAAAGTAGTCCGTGCTTAAAGTAGAACCATGCATGATAAAACACGAGCAGGATACCTTTTTCCACCGACGATCGTTCATCGAATATCGGACCCTCAGAGGGTCTTTCGTCCCTTTTTCCAACGCGTTCTCCATGGATTCACCAGTAACGATACGTTATTAGATTATCGGGGTACGTTACTTGTAATCAGGCCGGTCCTATCAGTCGGCCAATTAACAAGTAGGTCATCCGCTCGTTTGCGGGAACCGAAAATGGGGAACGCTCACGATCTATCGATCTTTCG